CCCCCCCCCCATGACATTCCTCTGCCAGGAGGACCATGAACAACCCTACCCAACTGGGTCTCAGTCCACTCATCTGTACAGTAGAACTATCATAATACGGGTCTCTCAGGGTGACCAAGAAGATTCAATGACATTGGACACATGAAGTGCTTAGTACAATGCCCAGCACCTGATAAGAGCTGATAACTAAGGGTTCTGTTTAGTTTTGTTTGTCTTTTTAACTTCCTCCCTCAGAATACAATACCCTAAGCAATAGGCCGGTAGGACGCCCTGAGGGGTCTGGGAGAGAAGCTGCTAGGCTCTCCCCTGGGAGGTTCCCAGGGAGTGGCACTGGACCTCTGGAATTGACTGTCCTCAAAGCTTTCAGGTGGCCACCTGCTCTAACCTGGGACTGGGGGCTCTGCCCACAGGTGTTCACCCCACTCTAAAAAAGGAGAGGGAGGTTTGCTTACATTAACAAAGGACCCATATGTGCCAGGCACTGGGTGTACAAAGCCCCAAATGACCTTGGTTCTTGCTTTCAACTTGCTCAGGATCTAGCAGCGGAGACTGACACAAAGCCAAGTTACATACAAATGGAAAGTGATTTAGTTTCTTATAAAATTTCAAACACACACTCAGTTTCAGCAATTATCAAGGTTGCTGTTACATTTGCTGGAAAGGGTTGTTTTCTATTTCTGTGCTTTTTACTTGTTATTATGGGAATTTTCAAACACACACTAAGTAGAGAATTCCCGTACCCAGATTCCACACCTTCGACTTACTCATTTCATCTATCTCACTACCCAACTCTCACCCCCAGGCACAATTTTTTTTTTCCCTAGAGTTTAAGGCAAATTCTGGACATCATGCCATTTCACTTGTAAACACATCCACGTTGGGATGGATCTCAACAGATAAGGACTTTTAAAAAGCATAGCCACTATCACCATTATCAAATCCAACAAAATTAAGAATAATTCCTTAATATCATCTGATATCCAGTCTCTTCAATTTTGCTGGAAAGTGTCTGGGTTGAAGTTGCAGAGACTGCTCTGGGAGGGTCCTGCTGATTGAGTGCAAGCTCTCCAGAGCTAGGCACTTGTCCCAGGGCTTCCCACACACCATTAAGGCTTGGCCCACACGGCCTGGGAGCTCTTGTGCCCACCCAGAGACTTAAAGTGAATTATGCTCATACAATAGGTAAGAAACCCAGTTCAAACCTGGAGATGAATCTTCTGGAAGGAGCCCACTTCCCCTGTTGGGGGAGGCTGTTACTTCCCTGTACTCTGGGGGTGACTGGAACTGGCTGGGAATAAACCTATTTGTGCTCCCCAGGCTCAGCCGATGAACTCCTCATGCCCAGGGCTGATGTGCGTCTTCCAGGGCTACTTGTCCACAGGCCTGGTACAACGTTCTCTCTTCAACTTGCAAATCTACGGGGTCCTGGGGCTATTCTGGACCATTAACTGGGTCCTGGCCCTTGGCCAGTGTGTCCTGGCTGGGGCCTTTGCCTCCTTCTACTGGGCCTTCCGCAAGCCCCAGGATATCCCCACCTTCCCCCTGAGTGCAGCCTTCATCCGCACACTGCGGTAAGCCTGAGGCTGGGGATTGTGATTCTGGGAGTCCCAGGGTTCCCGGGGATGCCTCTGACTGCCTAATGCCTCTGCAGTTACCACACTGGGTCTCTGGCCTTTGGGGCCCTCATCCTGACCCTAGTACAGATAGCCCGGGTCATCTTGGAGTACATTGACCACAAACTGAGAGGTGAGCCGAGGTCAGGGACTGGGGAAAGCCCAGCTGAGAACCTGGATCCTTGGGGGGAGGCTTTCAGGGCCAGTGTCCAAACCTGAGCCCCTCGCCCCCAGGGGCCCAGAACCCTATGGCCCGCTGCATCATGTGCTGCTTCAAGTGCTGCCTCTGGTGTCTGGAAAAGTTTATCAAGTTCCTGAACCGCAACGCATATATCATGGTGAGCCCCACTGCATGAGCAGCCCCCTGCCCCAGGGCCCTGTGGCCCCCGACCCCCCAACCTGGCCCATGTGAGTTCCCCACAGGTTACTCTGACCTTTCCATCTCACTCAGATTGCCGTCTACGGGAAGAATTTCTGCGTCTCAGCCAAAACCGCCTTCATGCTGCTCATGCGGAACATTGTCAGGTCAGGCTGGTCCCCACCCCCTGATCTCCCAGCCACAGCCTGATTCATGGGCATGCTGTGCTCAGAAGGGCCTCGAGGGCCTCGAGCTTGCTTTAAGCTCTGCTGCCTCCTGGTACATCCTGAAATGTGAATAATTTTCATTTTCCCTCTGTCACGGCAAATTATATAGCTAGTTCTATTCCCAGTTCTGCCGGGCCTCTCACGCCCAGCCTACCCCAACTCCCCATGCAGGGTGGTGGTCCTGGACAAAGTCACAGACCTGCTGCTGCTCTTCGGGAAGCTGCTGGTGGTGGGAGGTGTCGGTAAGGACCAGGGAGGGAGTTACAAGGACAGGGGACAGGGTGCTGGGAGGCCGAAGAGGCGACCTTAGAGGAGTGACACCGACCTCGCCCACAGGGGTCCTGTCCTTCTTTTTCTTCACTGGACGCATCCTGGGGCTGGGTAAAGACTTTGAGAACCCCCACCTCAACTATTACTGGCTGCCCATCATGGTGAGTGCTCCCCCTCTCTGCCTCACCCCCCTATGTCCCCAAAGAAACCCTAACAGGCCTGTCTTCCAGACCTCCGTCCTGGGGGCCTACGTCATCGCCAGCGGCTTCTTCAGCGTCTTCGGCATGTGTGTGGACACGCTCTTCCTCTGTTTCTGTGAGTGACACCCACCCCTCCCACCTCCCCCTTCAGGCACAGGCGCTTCAGGCTTCTCTGAAGACGGTGCTTCTAGCAACCGCGGCTCTGTGAGCCAAGGAGCCTGAGCCAGAGGGAGCCTCTTCGGACATCCTCAGGCGAAGGGTTTTGGGGGAAGCGAGCTCCCAGGCCGGTGGGCTATTCTAAGGAAGCGCATTCCAGGGGAGAGACGGCGCCCCTCGCCCCCGGGAACCTGTCGGAGGAGGGAGCCTTCCCGGCAGGAGGCTGCGGGGAGCCGCCATTCGGGCTGCAGGCCGCGTCCCCGCCGCGCCGCGCCCACTGTGGAGCCCACTTTACTAACGAGGGAACGGGTTGCATAACCTGCCCGGTAAATTACCAACCCTGGCCCCAAACGGCCGGCGGGG